TTAATTGAAATTGTTTTAAGCGATAAAGAAATGTCATCTCCCTGGATTACTAAAGGTATCAGAAAATCATCAAAAACTAAGCAGAAGCTATACATTAAATACCTAAAATCAAAAAACATAAACTTATTTGAAAAGCTTCGCAAAAATGCAAAAAAAAACTACTATTCAAACTTGCTTAATAAATATAAGCACAACTCAAAACGCGTCTGGCAAATCATGAAGGAGGTGTCTGGAAAACTTAAACCAAATAAAAATTTACTCCCAAATTTTATACAAATTGAAAACAAATTAATAAATGACCCAAATGATATTGCATTTGAATTTAACAAGTTTTTCTCCTCTGTCGGGACAAAACTAAACGATAGTATTTCATTCATCAAAGATAAATCTGTTGACGAGTTCGAAACATCAATAAGTCTAAATCTAAATTTTACTGAGTTAGCTTTTAATGAATTTGAGGTTGCTTTTAAGTCATTAAAACGAAATAAAGCTACTGGGTATGATGATATTAACACAAATATTGTGATTGATTCATACGATGTTATAAAAGATATTCTTTATAAAATCTTCAGAGCATCCATTTCACAAGGGTCTTTTCCAGATAAACTAAAAATAACGAAAGTAACTCCAATCTTCAAGACAGGGGATCGTACAAATATAACAAATTATCGCCCTATTTCAGTTCTTCCAGTTTTTTCAAAAACTTTAGAAAGAATAATGTACAACCGAATCTACTCTTATCTTGTTGAAAATAAAATTCTATACGAAAACCAATTTGGTTTCAAAAAAAATAATTCAACCGAGCATGCCATTCTTCAACTTACGCGCAATATAACCGACTCATTTAAAGACTCTTGTTTTACACTAGGAGTGTTTATTGATTTGTCCAAGGGATTTGATACCGTCAATCATCAAATCCTGTTAAAAAAACTAATATCATATGGTATTAAAGATAAAACCCTATTATGGTTTGAAAGTTATCTTACTAACCGTAAACAGTTTGTTTAAAATAAAGATTCTATATCTCATCTATTAATGAATATAACATGTGGTGTTCCACAAGGATCCATACTTGGTCCTCTTATTTTTTTAATATACATAAATGATCTTCATAAATCATCAAATTTAACAACAATAAATTTTGCAGATGACACAAATTTGTTTTTGTCTCATAAAGATATTAATATGCTTTTTACAAATATGACAAATGAATTAAAAAAAGTTTCTGTTTGGTTTAAACAAAATAGATTGTCTCTAAATATAGAAAAAACTAAATGGACACTTTTTTATCCACCTTTAAAATACCAGAAACTGCCCCATATCATGCCAGACCTTCTAATTGATAATATAATAATAAAAAGAGAAAAAGTTACTAAATTTCTTGGAGTATATTTTGATGAAAACCTATCTTGGAGAAATCATATTGATAATACCTCCAACAAAATTGCTAAATGCATCGGAATTCTCTATAAAGCAAGAAATATATTAAGTAAACACCAGTTAACACAATTATATTATTCATTTATACATTGTCATATAAACTACGCGAATATTATATGGGGAAGCACTCACAGAACAAAGCTAAAATCTCTTTACCTTCATCAGAAACACGTAACTCGCGTAATAAATTTTAAAAATCGGTTTTTTCACACGAAACAACTTTTTAAAGAAATGAATATTTTAAATGTATATCAACTAAATGTCTTTAATATTTTATGTTTCATGTTTAAATGTAGAGAAAATTTGTCGCCAAATGTATTACAAAATTTTTATTGTATGAAACCTAAAAACAAATATAATTTTCGAATTAATAACAGTCTTATTGCCCCTTTTTGTCGTAAAAGCAAAGACCAGTTTTTTGTTTCTTACCGAGGTCCTTATCTCTGGAACAAAATAGTCTTACCAAATTTTGATTTTTCAACCCAAATGACTTTTGCTTCATTCAAACAGAAACTTAAAAAAATTATATTTTTAATTGAAAATATCTTGATTTATTTTTAATTGCCTTTTTTTTTGTTTTGTTTTTGTTGTTGTTTTATTTTGTATATTATTTGGTTTAAAATTTTATCTTGACTTTTTAACATTTTATCTTGGTTTTTAAATATTTTTGCATAGAGGTGTATTATTATTTCACTACAGACATTGTATTTTTATTAAAAGTTAACCATATATTGTAAAGGGCTTCATGACAAGATCCTCATGATCTTCTAGAAGTCCTGTCGTTACTAATGTAAAAAATTGTAAAATATATTTAGTTATTGTAAAATTAAACGGCAAATAAAAAAAAAAAAAAAAAAAAAAAAAAATTACACTAAAAAACGCTAATATTTTTTTAATTCTCGGTTATATTAAAATTCTTTTTAGAGATGATTTTAAAAAAGCCTGGTTTCTATCAACAATTTAATGCAAAACTGTTAAAAAATGCTCAGCGCATCATTTTCTGATTTATCCCTTGCCCAAACCCGAACCCTGTCCCAAATCCTGTATGTTTAATCGCGTCAATCCCTATTTGTCAGTCGATGTAAGTGCATTTAGTTGTGCCAATTCCTATTTGTCAGTCGATGTATGTGCATTTAGTTGTGCCAATCCCTATTTGTCAGTCGATGTATGTACATTCAATTGCCCAATCCCTATTTTTCAGTCGATGAGTGTACATTTAATTGCGCCAATCCCTATTTTTCAGTCAATTTATGTACATTTAAAAAGCAATATTTAAATTTATTTCAAAAAAAATAAATAAAGTTATATAAAATACATTCATAAAAACATTTAATTCAATTATAAATTAACTTTGATGACAATAAAAACCGGGTTGCGTAATTAAAAAAAGATTTTATTAACGATCGATTTTAAAATATAATCTTTGATGTAAAGCGTATTTTAAAAATGGCGAATATTAGCGTTTATTAGTGTAATTTTACAAACTTCAACATCAAATTAGAGCACTTTCTGTTAATTTTCAGACCTATGTTTTTATATGATTCTTAATCAGCATAAAATTCTCTGTCATAATCAACAATAAAAAATAGGGGGAGGGGGGGGGGGGGGGGGAGAAACTGCAGTAGCGCCGAATTTCCAACCTTTTTTCTAATGTCTCATTTCTCCATATTAAATGTTTATTATTTATAAAATCATGAATTTACAAGTCAATAATTTTGAACAAAATTAGATAACGAAGCATTTCCTGAGATAATCGAGTCTTAAAGGTGCTCTTTTTGGATTCCGCAAGTAAAAATCTATTGGGGTATCAAGTTTTAGAAAATTTCTCCGAGCCATTTTGAAGATACTATATGTCAAAGTTGCTTTGTAGTCGTTTCAGATAATCACTAAAATGCTGAGTCAGGTTCCAGAGATATCATCAGTTTAACTGATGATATCTCTGGAACCCATGTGTATTTTTAACTAAAATTTTCGCAGTTATTATTTTTTTAATATAGACTGTAAGTGAGGTAAAAATTTAACGAGACTTACATTTAAACGCATTTAACGAAACATTATGAATATTCCTTAATATTAGACATGCGTACCAATATGCAAAAATGTCAACATGGGTCAATATTAACTATTTAATATAGAGCCAATATTTAATATAAAGCCAATATTTAATGTTTAATATAAAGCCAATATTTCGCCAATATTGGTATATAAAATAATATTGATAATATTGGCACAATATTGTTTGTCTATATTGGCGTAATATTGCTTGACAATATTGGCGCAATATCGGATATCTTGACCAAGATTCGCCAAGATATCTTGACCAATATCGCGCCAATATTGTTCGCTACTTGGGTTCTTTTCTACATTAACGCATTGATGTCTTAAAGTAAAGTCTCTTGTATCAACGCATCATAAAGTCAAAGTTCCTTGCTGGAATACGTGTTAAGGTTCCCTAGACTCTCTAACAAACTCGTTGGTCAGCTCGTGCTTATGCTTGTTTAGCCATTAAAAAGGTTTATTCTATTTACAAGGCGATTAAGAGTTATTTAGTAAATCAAACAAGAACATATTTTATTTGTGATGATACAACGATCAGAAAGCAAAACCAAGAGCAGAGGTCTCCAGATCTTTGACCAAAACGGAACAACATGAGACAGCTATTTTAATAATCATTTGGAACAGAATCATGGAAAGGTTTAACAAAGTTAGTAAGAAACTGCTATTTTAACTCCCTGGAGCATTACGTGCAGCAACTTCCTGGAGCATGACGTGCGCAAGTTCGCTCCAATATCGAGCAACATGAAAAGGAAGCCGTGGTTTGGTCAATACGAATTAATATACCTAGGTTCGAAGGCTCTCAAAAGGATGCAAGAGAAATTACCATGATGAAATTAATAGTGTGGAAACTACAGTGTTTTCTGGGCAATCTTAAATGATTGCCAACGTTAATAAGATCACGAACAAACTAATGAGTGATCTAGATTAAAGGAAGAAAGTCTGTTCTGGATTGAATACTTTGTTTGGTTTTCTTGTAAATTTCCGTAACATGGATATCTTGGAGATTAGTTGTTGTGCACAAAAACTTGTTGACCGATATCCTTCTGATCTTTACTTTCACTTATTGAACGAATGTCTTCATTTTTGAGCTTAATTTTTAAACTAAAGGTGTTTTAAAACCTATACTAATCGCAGAGTATTTTGAATAATAAATAATGCGAGATGTTTGTTTAAATATAAAAAAAAAAATAAAAAATAAAAAAAATACATTATAAAGCCATAGCGCAACAATTAAATTTTTTTATATTTAAAACGCTGTTAAATTTGAATACTAGGAGGCCAACAAGAGCCAGAAGGCCTAAAGTGCTGGGAGGCCAAGAAGCGCTTAAGCCGCCCCTGAATAACCCATCGATATAATAGTATTTCCATGTGACACAAATGTTTCTTAATGTCATTTATTACAATTGATAAAGCGGATATCTTAGCTTTTAAACAAACAAGTTGAACATCCATCTATTAATACGTTCTTGATTATATTAAGTCATATATTGTCATAACTATGATGTTCTAGACCGAAATTCAAAAATCGAATATTATCTGAGTATATTCCGGTTAAGTTGGAGTTTCACTAATCCGGAACTTATTCTGTTTTTAATTGGAAAACCTCTGGGAAACCTCCTAATTGTAAAGAGCTCACGAGAAAATTGAACATGTCTGTAAAGTTTTCAGAAATCATTGCTGAAAAGTTGTCTTCCTTAAAATTGGAAGGGCAAAAATTATCTACATTAACACAAAAAGGAAATGATGGTGTAAGTATTGAATACATCATGTTAATTTTAATTAACTCATTAAATAATTTTTTAGCTACAATTATTATACTAGAGTAGTACTGATAAATTAGTAGTACTAGTACTAGTAGCTAAGATTTGATGATTAGTAAAATTAATCATATTATTATTAGTAGTACTAATAATAATATGATTAATATTACTAAAATAACATTAGACTAATTTTATTACCCTAATTTAGATAAAAAAAATTAAATAAATATTTATATCTAATTTAGAGTAATAGAATTAGTCTAATGTTTAGGCAAGTGATCAGTAGTATTTTTTAAATAATTAGTAATGGAATTAGCATTTATTAATATTAATTAGTATGAACTAGTTCATATTAATTAGCGTGCTTTTAAAACTATTATTATATATAAAAATAATTTATTCAATAATAGTAATAATAATAATTATTACTTTGTACGTTTTGGTTTATAAGTTTATTATTATTTTTTTTATTGGTGTCACTATGGTATAACTATGTAATTTACTGTAGTAACTATGAGTGACACCCAACTGTGTTTTGTAACTGTATAGTTAAAAAACGGTATAGTAAATTTAAGTATTGTTTTTAGAAATAAAATTTATTATTTTTTTTTTTTATTTATAGCTGGTAGAACAGTTCTTTGCAGAATCTTTGCAATTAAATTTAGAAAATCACAAAGAAAACTTACAAAGCCAATTATACATTGGTATATAAATTCAATATTATAAAGTTTGTTTGTTACAAGAAACTAATAAAATTTAAATCAAAATTCAATTATTGAGTTTTAAAAGTTAAAAAATACACTGGTTTGTAAATGTAAAATAAAGGGGTGCATTATTGAAATAAGTGTTCTGTAAAGTATTCTGAAATTCAAGACAATTTTTTTTTCTAGTGACAGTCAACACTTTTACGCACAGTTTCATATTTTTCATGAAGGGCGAAAAATAGATTAGAAGAAATAGAAAATAGAAAGGAAAAAAAATTATAACTAAAAAAAAAGTACATTTAAAGTATAGATTTCCATCTATGGTTAATGCAATTGTTAAAATTTTGTTTGATATGGTAGACTGGGGCTTGATGGCCAAATTTTTCAGTGATTTTGTACTGCCTTCCTGTGACAGTTGTTGGAATATTAATCAATAACAATAAGTTTATTGATGAAACCCAACACACTTTATCTCTTGAAGGCCAATAATATGACTTTGAAAGGTATGGATGCATGAATCTTACTTAAAAGTCTTTTTTATTAGAACAAACATATTTTTATTTGTATTTGATCAAAATTATTTGACCACAACCCTTGTTAAGAGAATCCTGATGAAAAGGAAGAAATGTGTAAATAGTTATAAAAAAGTTTTGTGGTATATGTAATAATGATACAAAAATATGTGACACAAAGTCAAATTGTAGATTTTATAGGGATTACTTTACAAAAAATAAAATTACTTGCATGTTTCAAAGTTGAGGCTTAATTTTTTTAATATAAAGTCTAAATTTTTTCACATCATTTAAAAAAAATTGTTAGAATTGATTGAGTAATTTTTTAGAAAATGAAATTTAAAATATATAATAATATACATAAATATGGATCCTCTCATATCTGACTGATAAAGCATAAATATATAAATATTTTTCAAAAGAAATCATTAAAGTCTAATTTAATTAGATATATTAATTAAAATCAACTAAATCATTTTGGCGCATAGTTTAAGTTAGTGCATCTTAATAATCTTGTGAAGGGTGGGTATTTGTACTACTTAAATAAGAAAGGCTTTAAATTTTTTGTTACATGATATACATATATATTATGATCATAATCATAATGATGATAATGATGATGATGATGATGATAATGATGATTATCATCATCATCATCATCATCATCATCATCATCATCATCATCATCATCATTATCATCATCATAATCCTCTTCATCATGTTTAGGAGAATGTAGAAAAATTAATCGATAGTTTTTATCATGGAAACCTTAACTGCTAAAACCGTATTTTGTGTTGAAAAATATCTTGATGTTATGTGACTGAACAATAGTTCAGGTATTACAAATACTTTAGTTCCGAAAAATGTGCGCGTTACAATTTTAAATAAAACAAGGTTTACTGGTAGTTTAAAGAGTATCTTTAAACTACCAGTAACTACCAATCTTTATGATGTTTATTTCACACATTCCTCAAAGCCCACCACACAATCTCTCTTGTTACTCTGAAATGTTTTTTAACAAATGCCATCCACAAATCGTTTTTTTAATGGAATTTAAAAAAATATGGATACTTTGTCTTACCCCCTTACTTGACTGTTTTTTTTAGTGCCATTCATTTTTTAAGCATATTCTGTAAAGAAAACTAAAAATGTAAAAATTTAATTTTATAATTATTTAACAATTTCTAGGTTTTTTATATCCTGTACAAAAAAAAATATATCTTCAAATGCCTATAAAATATGATAATAATTTTTTATGGTTTTATATAAAACTCTATAATCCAAAAAAACCCTGCAAGAATTGTCTTTTTTAAACCTAATTTAATTGTGTTTTTAACAATGAAAAAAATGTAAAATGCATTTTTTAAAAAGATTTATAGAATTTTAGTATCTCAATTTTTTTAAAAAGATTTGTAAAATTAATTTATCTCAATTCCAGTTCTAATGTACTTATATCATTAAAGAAAGCAACCTTAATTTACGGTTTCAAACCATGGATTACATGGGTTTTATTTGGAATCTTCATTGTTATTAGAATGCAGAATATGTTTAACAAATTTCTTAAATTAGGCGTAATACTAAACTCAGGCTTGAAAAATCCTTTAAAAACTTACTTGTCACTCTGATCCATCGAAGTAAAAAGAACCATTATTCTAAATTCTTTTCTGGTAGTGCTCAAAATTTGAAATCTATATGGAATGGTATTAGGAATCTTTTAAATATTTGTTCGGGAGTTGAAACACAATCTTTTAAATATTTGTTTTGAGTTGAAACACAATCTTTTAAATATTTGTTTAGGAGTGGAAACACAATCCTTGATGAACAAGGTCGCTGCGCGGCCTTGTTCATTAAGGATTGTGTTTCGGAGTTATAAAGTTGAGGGTTATAACCAGAATTAAGTAGCCTACTCATCTGTAGGGGCCTTCTCAGCCTTGTGGAGGTGAATTGACATTAAAAAAATATAAATATATAACCCCAATATCTGAATCTTTCATTTCATTTTTTGTTTCAGTTTTAAAAAAATTACAAAAAACATCCACTCATCCTATACAAACTTAGATAAATATATTAAACATTCTAATCTTAAATCAATCATCATATAATAGGCAAAAATCATATATTATCTGTCATTCTTTCTCTTAATAATAGCAAGGCTTTCTGAACTAACAACTTTTTATTCTATTTTTTTGAACTTCTTGCAAATGATATCTCTCCTATACTCTTTGAAGTACTTTGTTATGGGTTTATTCCCTGATATTTTGAATGTTTTAAAAATTGCTTCATTATACCAATATATAAAAAAACTTAAGTGCAATAGCTACAGACTAATTTTATTATTGTTAAATATAAGCAAACTATTAGAAAAGTTCATGTATTCTTGTATTCTAGTTTGTATCTATATTAGCAGTTTGGGTTTTGTTTAAAACATTCTACCTCCTATCTCTTATGTAATTTTATATCATTTTAGTCATTTATATATATAAATAGTTGGGTCAGGTATCAATCAATCCTACCTGGATCCAAACCCAATTTACTTAATGGGTCTGGGTCCGGTCATGCCAATACAAGAATAAACAGTGCGTAGCATTACTGGGTATAGGCTTTTGAGTGCATGTTTCATCATGGCTGCAAACAGTTAAGGTATCTATAAAAAACGTACTCAAAAAACCACTAATTTAAGACCCCTCTTTCCCTATTATACACACATGTATGCTTTTAACAATCCCCCTCTGCCTATGTTGGCATTGTTACAAAAACCGAATTCCCCTTTTTTCCATGAGTCGTAAAACTCAATGCTTTTGTTAAAAAAAAAAAGAAATCAGGTTTTAGGAGAGATAGACATCTAGAAAAATTAAAACCGTGTACGTACTGCTGTTTTAAACACCCACCCTTTTTCTTTTACGAATTCTTAAGTTTTTGGCTATCCCTCCCCCGTACCTATATATGTACTTTATGGAAGAAACCCAAGGGGTAATTGAAGTCATTTTTCTCAGCTTTCAATAAATAAAATACTTAAAAACTTAAGCAGTAAGCCATAAAAAATGCAACAGTTCACAGGTATCCAATAGATTATTTATCTGGAGCATCACAAACAATCTATGGCACTTTGTGTGTTTTTCTTATAAAATGTAGCTTTTATATGACTTTTATAAAAAAAGCCAATAAAACTTTTTTCTTGGTTATTTAAGTGCTGCAAGAAGACCTAGCTGGTGTGTCACAGAACAATGTAGAAGTACTCTTATCTAGGAATTTCATGCTGTTTTCCACAATAATGTCATCAAATTGGTCAGAGCAGAACTCAAATTTAGGACCTCTTGATTTAAAGGCTCTAACTACTATGCCATGGCTGCATACATGAACCTCTTGATTCTGAGGCAAACACTCCGCTCATTTCATCATGGTTGCAGACATGATAGGGTTCTATTTTCCTTTTAAAGTATTAAGATGGTGGACAATGAAAACTTCAAGAAAACAAAAACATTAACCATTTTTCAAAAATAATACTTTTTATGTTATTAAAAGATAAGCGTTAAAAAAAAGTAAAATCTAAGTAAAATTTTTATGATCGCTAAGGACAACATTTCAATCAGATAAACATTACTACTTGAATTCTTTTCACTATTTTGCTTTTTCTAAGAAATTAGAAATTCTTCGTTTTTGTTTTCATTAATGGAGTTCAAACTGCTGTTTTTCTCTGCTTGTTAGAAAATTTAAATTAAGTAAATAAACTAGAAAAAATTAAAATTTAAGTATACAAACCTTGGAGTTCAATTTTTATCCAATCTTTAGAGCATATAACAGAGTCCAATGTGGTTGGTATCATAGAACTACGATATTTATTAAGGACTCTACCACCTGTGTCAAAGACTGACTCTGAAGCGAGAGAACGTAGTGGACAAAATATCTTGCACAAAACATTGTATAACTGGAAATCTAAATCCAGAATGTCTCCACCACTCCAGTATATCAAATCCTTCTTGATCAGCAAATACTAGTTCATCCAAACGCTTATTTAATTAATTCTTTAATTGTAAAGAAGAATTTTTTAAAGCAACATTTTTTGAATCTTTTAATTCTTTTTGTATATACAAAAGAAGCAGAAGAAATAGATTTAAAAAGTTTAAAGAAATTAGAAAAAATGTTTAAGAAGTATTTAAGGGTTAAAACACCTTTAGCATTAGAGCATTTAATGTGTTCAAAAATTTAGAAGTGTATGTCACTATACAATTTGTTTAATATTGCATAGATATTTTCTACCTTCTTGTCACTTGCATCATCATAAATTTTCTTGAAGTATTAATCAAGGGTGATTATACTATAAAGTGGGTCAACCACTGATGCAATTGCTAAAATACTAAAACTAGTTTTCCAAAATTTTGAAAATTTAGCCATCATTTTCTTCCTCATTCCACATATAAATTGAACATGATTATTGAACATATCTATTATTTGTAAATAAATTTAAAATAATATATTGTATAATAGTATATTGAAATAATATTGTATAATAGTATATTGAATACCAAATATTAATAAAATATGAAAATTAAATAATACAATTTAAAAAATTTAAAACATTTTCAATTTTTATTATTTATAAGTAAAACAAAGCACTTGAATAAATATAGATAATATTGTTAACAGACTGTGAATATTTTTTAGTTGTTAAAGTTAGGTCTAGATTTTGAGAATGATTAATTTTTTAATATTTTAAAATTATCTTTTAGCATGCTTTTGGGGCTTTAATGAAATTGTGAAAATTCTGGTTGAAAAGGGTGCAGGTTCATATTAATTACAATGCAGTTTAACTGTTTTTTTTTATTTGCTATTAAGTTAATAATTTTTGAAATCATTTTGAACAATTTTTTAAATAGATGTAAATTGGCAAAACAAAAGTACATTATGGACTCCACTTCATGCAGCTACATTTCAAGAGCACGGAATGGTATATTAGCTTTAAATCATTTTTAATTTTTCTATCATGGTGAAGAGTATATTTAGGTTATGTATTAAGTTAAAATTTTATATTTTTATATATTTGGCTTTATTTTTTATCTTTAGATTATATTATTTTTAATAAACTGCAATGCTTGCACTTATTCTAAAGATTCAGAAGGAAGGTAATAATGTTTATTTTATTTTTATTATTAATATTATAAAAATTATTAGATGATTATAATGATAAAGATGATGATGACAATGGCAATAAAGATGATGATAATGAAGATAATGAGGGCAAAGAAAATGATGATGATGATGAATTAAGATAATTTTTATTTTATTATATGATGATGATGAATTTAAGAAAATTTTTATTCTATTATTTTTTTTAAATTTCTCTTATTAAATATTTTTTTTCTTTAAAAATATTTTTATAGAACTCCTTGCGATTTCGCTTCGGCTTCTGAAAAAGTGTGGCCATTATTTGCTGGTAAATACAAAGTTCTATTTTATATTATTTTTATTTTTGTCTTTTATGACAGTGAAATGTTTATTTATTGGTTAGTATTTTATGCTATTAATATATAACATAGCTATTAATATATAACTATAGTATTTTATGCTATTAATAAATAACTATAGCTAAATAAGCTATATGAAATTAAGTAATCTTAATAAGAAATTTAAAACTGCAATCAATCAAATCTACTTACTATTTCTTTTAACTAATGATTAGCTACATTTTAGTTTCTAAAATACAATTTACCTATATATACTACATTTTAGTTTCTAAAATATAGTTTACCTAAAAATTATTTGACCTTTATTTCGCACACACTTTTAGAAATAAACTTGAAATATTTTAAAACTTAATTCGATCGAGTTTTTAAACTTAATTCAATCAAGTTCGATCCCCACCATGTCCCTGGTAGTACCGCGCTCAACTTGTTTCTCCGCGCAGCGGCCTTGTTCATCAAGGTTTGTGTTTTGGAGTTGAGAAAGGGTTATAACGGTGGTCTATAACTGGACCTAATTTTGAAATTTTTAAAATGATAGAATATGACAATTTTGATTTTCAACCTACAACTTTTGATTTTTTATACTTACTACTAATTAAAACATGAACTACTAATTTTTAATCCTACTGCGTTTTCAATCTACTAAATTTTCAACCTACTCAATTTTCAACCTACTGAATTTTCAACCTACTTTATTTTCGACCTACTGTTTTTCCGATTGACTTTATAACTACATTTTTTCCGGTATGTATTGTATTTGTTGTTAATTTGTATCAGAGCTAAATTTAATCAGCCGTGGAGCGCTGGCTTATAATTGAGAGGTCCTAGGTTCGATGCCTGGTTAAGGAATATAAGGCGGCGTGAATTGTTTTTTCTTTTAAACTATTTTTTTCTCAGTCAGTTCGTGAAAACTTTTGATCGGACGCCATTTTACAAAATAAGTATTTTTTTTTTTTAAATTTCAGTTCATATTTCTTTAATTTTTACAAAACATGCATGAAATTGTTTAATTCTTGCGTGGCATAAGGTCAAATGCGCATTTTCTAACAGCTGTTTTATCAAAATTTCAATAAAATTTAATATGGTGTTGTAAGTTTTAAACTTAGGTGAGAAATAAACCAAAATTTTTGACGTATCGAGATTTTTTATTTGTAAAAATGTAACTGTTTTTTATATGTAAAAATGTATTTTTTATTTGTAAAAAAATAAGTGACGCCAACTGTGCTCTTTTTAGATTAATATGATTAAAACTCACGTTTATAAATATTTTTATAAGAGACGTGAACTTCCTATTAAATGCTCATCCGTAGTGCACTGTGATAAGACTGTACGAACTTTTTGGGGCATCTAAAAAAATTAACAAAAAAAAATGAATCCCCTCCTTGGAGTAGCTCTAGCCCTTGCGCAGTAGTGGAGAAACATTATCCACTTGTGTCACTTTAAATATTTTATTATAAACAATATGGTTTTCTATCAAATTACTCTACGGAACATGCACTTATGCAACTTGTTGAAGTTATCAAGGGAGCATCTTCTCATAAAAAATTTACCTTAGGTATATTTCTTGACTTGTCAAAAGCATTTGACACCGTTAACCATCAGATTTTATTAGAAAAACTAAAATATTATGGAATAAGCCACGAATACCATAAATGGTTTACCAGTTACTTAACTGATGGAAAGCAGTTTATTTCTCTAAATGATGGCTTTCAGACAAACAAACTTAAAATATCATGTTGGGTTCCACAAGGCTCAGTCTTAGGTCTGCTGCTGTTCTTAATCTATGTTAACGATCTATATAAAGCATCAAATACTTTGTCTACTATTATGTTTGCAGACGATACCACTTTATTCTATTCTCATAGTAATATTATCTTTCTATTTCAAGTAGCAAATAATGAACTAGAACAAATATCAAACTGGCTTATTGCTAACAGCCTATCTTCAAACATTGATAAAACTAAGTTTTCTTTATTCCATTCTAAACGAAAGTTTTAATAAATTCAAAAATCTTTACCAATGCTATATATAAATAACACCAAAATTGAGCGCTCATTCACAAATAAATTACTTGGTATTTTAATAGACAAAAACTAATCCTGGAGAGATAATTTTAAACATATTAGCAATAAAATCTCAAGAAGTATTGGCATTTTATATAAAACCAGACAAATCTTAGACAAATCTACACTAACTCAACTATATTTTGCATTCATAAATAGTTATTTATCTTATGGTAATATTGTTTGGGGTAGTACAAATAAATCTAAACTTGACTGTCTCCTTAAACAACAGAATCATGCATCACGCATTATTCATTTTCAAAATCGCTTCACAAATGCTAAACCTTTTCTAAAAAGCATGAGGGCACTTGATATTTATGAACTAAATATTTTTAAAATTATACAATTTATGTTTCAACATCAGTCAAAAAAAACGCCGAAGGTTTTCAAAAATATTTTTCCTAAAACATTAAACCAATACAACACGCGATCTACCGGAAGATTTAAAAAACCTTTCTGTACATCAAAACTTACGAGCTTTGCCATTTCCTATAGTGGCCCAATGCTATGGAACCATTTTATAAGTCTGAGTGGTAAACTTAAAGAAGCCAATACCTTTAAAAAATTTAAAAAGAACATAATCAAACTTATTGCCAATCAAGATTCTTTACATGATTTTTTCTAATAATACACTTTTATTTCCAATTTTTATTACATCAGGTTACTGATGATAAGATTTTATCTTCTTCAGGTTCTGCGGTCTCGTAACTGTTATAAATAATGAAATGTACTTGTATTTAATATTTTTAAATATTTAATTGGAAATTACCTTTAATTGTAAATGGTTGCTTGACAAAAATAAATAAATAATTAAATAAATATAAAAAAACAATCAATAACAAGGTTAACTAAATTATCAAAAGTTTCATTTAATCTTCCTTAGCTCAAATAACTTATTAAAAACCCCTCAAATTTTTTTTCATCAAAAAAATTATTTTAACAAAAAACCAAGTATATCTTGAAAAATAACTATATAACAGAATTTTAAATAATGCAAAATAAGTTTATTAGTTGCCATGGTTACCGAGTAAGATGGCAGATATCCAAAAATGTTTAGGCCAGCCGGGCCATTCTATCTCAGTAACCGAAAACATATAAGATAAGATTTTTAGGCATATGATTAACAACCTAGTAATCTACAAAGTATACTAAAGTTGTTCTAAAAAACAAAGTTTTAAATACTTTATATTATATTATACAGAATTTTTGAAAATGGCGTATTTCAAAAAAATGCAGTTTTGTGAACAAAATCTTTTATAAATTAACAGTATTGTAAAACTTTTAGTTCCAATTGTACAACTAGATGCAATAAACATATGGTGAAAATTTTATGCAAATTGTCAGAGACAGAATTATTTATTTTGCTCCAGTTATTTATAGTCATAGGGTACATTAAAAGTATGCATTTTTGTAATCCTGAAAAACCTTGACCACATGCACGCATTGAATAAACTATTCCAAATTTACATCAAAAGTTTTTTTCCCAGAACATGTCTATGAAGCATAAAATTGAATCTTTTCATTACAGTTAGAGCACATTGAGCTGAAACCTTTTTTTTTTTTTTTTTGAAAAACATTCTGAAAAATTTATTTTTGATTGTGAAAATTTTTTTAAACACAGTTGTATAATTACATTAGACAAAATTATCTCAATTTTTTTTGACGATAAATTTAAAGAAGTGTTACAATAAATATGGTCGTTTTCATAACTAATTTTTTGGATTTTTTACTTTGAGTACCTAGTTTGATTCTATATGATTTACCTATTGTTAAAAAAGTTTATGAAACAGCAAAAAAATAACAAAACAGCTTGCAATTCTGATTAAAAACCTGTTACTATGCGTGATGTTAGACAGATTAAATTAACCCAGTCGAAAGAATTTATTTATTCTCAAGAACTAAATCTTACTTTAAGAAATGGTTTTCAAACTCGAGTTCAGCGATAAATTTTGTTATGATTTTTTAAGATTCTTACCCATTAAAGCTCCTTAAATAAAACCAACATACTTGGGGTTACAGAGACGTCATTTAATGATTTTTCAAATACTAACGCAACTGATTATAATTTTTACTAAAAAGATAGAAGCAATAAAAGAAGGGAGGTGGCGTAGCGTTATATATATATATATATAACACTACGCCACCTCCTTTCTTTCATTTCTTCTATCATTTTAGTAAAAATTATAATCAGTTGCGTTGGTATATAAGCAACGTCTATAAATAGACAATGTCTATATATATATATACATTGTCTATAGACAATGAAACAAATTTGTATTTACTCGAAGATATTTGTTTTACTTAACGTATGGTTGATCAAGTTAAGACAATTGTATGATATAATGAATATGTATCATCCAAATATTTAGTATTATATTTATATATAATACTAAATATTTGGATATTTAGTATTATATATAAATATAATACTAAATATTTGGATATATATATATATATATATATATATATATATATATATATATATATATATATATATATATAGGCTATATTATATGGTAGATATTATAGATCAGCGTAATGTATTTAAAGTTGCTAAGGCTTATATTGGAACATTTAGCATTAAGGAATAATGAGAGACTTCAATGTCCTAAATATAATATGGTTTAATGGCTAATTTTATCAAGTAGTAATAGCATTGAGTTCCTATTTCGAGAAATAATTTTTGATACAACATGTGGTTATACCAACATTTCAATTAAACAAAAATAACTCATACAGTTTTATTAGATTTTATTTTAACATCGAATTTTGATAATAATATTGAGCTTGAATCAAAATTCATTTTAGGCAACGTATTCAAAGGTCATTTGTTACTTAATTTTAAATTTATCATTTTTGAAAATGTGCAGCCAATTTAGAAAAATGGATTATAAAAGAGGTAACTTCGC